ATAAACAAGATTTATAAGCCCTTACCAAACTAACAAAAAGGAAAAGAGAGAAAATCCAAATTAATAAAACTATAGATGAAAAAGAGGATATCATTATAGACATCACAGAATTCCAGTGAATCATGAGAACTATTTTGAAAACTTATACTCCAATAAATTGAAAAACTTAGAAGAAATGGATACATTTCTAAACAAATACAATCTGCCAAAACTGAATCAAGAGGACATAGAAAACCTAACAGACCAATAACTTGTAATGAAATAGAAGCACCAATTAAGAAACCTTTCCAATAAGAAAAACAATAACAAAAAAATCCCGGGACCAGATGGATCCACAGCTGAATTCCACCAAACCTTTAAAGAAGAACTAATGCCAATACTCCTGAAATTATTTCATGACACATAGAATGGATGGAACAATTCCAAATTTGTTATATGAAGCCAGACTCACACTCATACCAAAACCAGATAAGGACACATCAAGGAGAGAAAACTACAGACCATATCTCTAATGACTTAGATGCAAAAATACTTAATAAAAATATTAGCAAGTTATGTTCAACAACATATTAAGAAGACTGTACACCATGACCAAGTTAGTTTTATTGCAACTTGAAATGCAAGGATGGTTTAATCAACAAAAGTAATTCATCACATAAATAGAATTAAGGACAGAATTCACTTTATCATCTCAATACATACAGAGAAGGCCTTTAAAAAAATTAAGTATCCATTCATGATAAAAACACTGAAGAAACTAGGGATAGAAGGAACCTATCTCAATATCATAAGGATTATATATAAAAAAGCCAAACCCCACCTCACTGTAAATGGGGAAAAACTTTAAGCATTTCTATTAAAATCTGGAACAAGACAAGGATCTTCACTCTAACCACTCCTATTTAATATAGTACTAGAAATTCTAGATAGAGCAATTAGGCAAGAGAGGGAAAAAAGAGATAAAAATGGGAAAAGAAGAAGTCAAAATATCACTGTTTGCAGGTGATATGATCCTATATCTAGAAGATCCAAAAGCTCCACCAAAAGACTGCTAGAGTTAATATAAAAATTAGACAAAGTAGCAGATTACAAAACAAATTTATAAATCAATAGTTTTCCTCTATCCCAACAATAAATCTGCTGAGAAAGAAATCAGGAAAACATTCCAAATACAATAACTTCAAAACAAATAAACAAAAAAACCTGTAGGAATAAATCTAATCAAAAAGGTTACCAAGTCCTCCACAATAAAAATTGCAGAAAATTAAAGAAAACCTCAGAAGATATAAAGACTTCCCAAGTTCACGGATAAGCAGAATTAACATTGTTAAAATGGCCTTCCTTCCAAAAGCAATATATACATTTAATGCTATTTCCATCAAATACCAATGACTTTCTTCACACAGTAGGAAAAACAGTCCTAAAATTCATTTGAAAAAGTAAAAGACCCAGGAATAGCCAAACCAATTTTAAGCCAAAAAGCAATACTAGTGGCATCAAAATACCTGACTTCAATTTATACTACAGAGCTATAGTAAGAAAAACTGCATGGTCCTGGTATAAAAACAGATACATGGGCTGGGGATGTGGCTCAAGCGGTAGCGCACTCGCCTGGCATGCGTGCAGGCCAGGTTTGATCCTCAGCACCACATACA